TAAACAACGAAAAGAAAGAAAGGCTGGTAGCCTTCATCTTAACTACAGAAATTAAACATAATATTAAACAGTATCTCCTTCACTGAACATCTCAGGTGCCAAATGATGCAATGTGACAGAGGAAAAGAAAAAAGAACAGAGCTATGTAACTGGAAACTGCACTGTAATGCGTGGCACATACAGAATCACAATCCTGCACAGGAATCCTCAGCTGTGGCACTTCCTAACTGCCAAGAGTTTGACTTGTGAAGTAAGCATTTAATAACAATGACTCGCAGAGGTAACTTAAGAAGTATGACCCCATACTTCCTTGTTTTAAGCAGCCTCAATCTGGCCTCTGATTTTCTGGTATCCCTCAGTAAGAGGTGGAAATGGCAGACTGCACATGGCTACTGCTTTCAGCTGTGAGCAAGATGAGATCTGAACACATGTAACAGATGTGCACATACAGGTAACAACTGACTGGGTATGATATCACTTATGTACACGTGTATCGTAAGCATGTTGCATATATACTTCTAAACATCTAGGCAAGACAGAAAGAGAGATTCACCTTCAATACTTAGATTTTCAAAGCAGAGCGTTGCTTTATTTTTACCCTCCCTTCCCCAAATCAGGTACATTATTTCACCAGGCTACAGCTTTAGAAATAACCTAAAAAGCAGAATGCAAACAAAAAGATAACTTCACTTTTGATCACATTTCCTTTGCTAGTAGCTCTGATGGGATTGTTAGCAAGCAAACTACCAGCACGTAGTAAGAAGTCTCGGTGCATGTCTGTGCAACGCTCTGGGTTCACAAAGCCAGAATCTGCCCTCCGCTACAGACGAAGTTCACAAGGAAAAAAGGAATAAGGACTCTCTTCTTCCATCTGCCCTGAATGCAGCAACAAGGCAGGATTCCAACCTAGCACTCAGGAGAGTGCCAAAAAGGGGACTGGCTACTGTGCTGGCTGCCACCCCAGGGCCCCAGGGGTGTGAGGCCCGCCAGCTGTGGGGTGGAGCCATGCCCCCAGCCAGCTACGGCCTCTGCTGCTGTCTTGCCTGCTGGCTGGGCCTGCCTAATGATCTTTTTAAGAAAAGCAATATTGTGCAGTTCATCATGCGGTGCAGGTGTTCACCTTCAGCTGTCGCTGCCCTGTGCTGGCAGGGCAGCTCCAGCAGCCAGCACTTGTCTGCCTTCCCCGCTGCACGCAGAGCAGGACCTACGGCCAAATGAAAGCATCCAAGGCCAGCTTTATTCTGAAAAATGAAATGTTTAGGAAAGAAAAGCTCTTGCCTGAGTGCAGGGAGAACAGATTTTTAACTGTGCAAAGCCGTGGTGCAGTTGAGCAGAGCAGAGCTCCGAGTCACAGCAAGGAGGATGAGGGAGGATCGGTCCACCCTGGTGGTGCAGTGGAGCACAGAGAGGGGAAGGAGTCAATTCCAGCTGCAAGAAAGGACAAACTGCTTGGGGCAGTAATTTCTTTGGCTGTTCCCCAGGTCACTGTGGAACACTTGTGTTTCACTTCAACAGATTAAGGCAGGGTAGGACTGCCACATGCCTGAAGACTCAATTTCACAAAGATGTGTGTTAAACTAGAGGCTGAGAGATAAATGGAGATGGAGATATTAACTACCAAACTCCATTTTTTCCTCCTCGACAAGGAAAGAAAAAGCAGTTTATTTGCCAGGCTTAAACACTGTTAGGGTCGTGATGTCTTTTATTTTTGTCAGGACATACAGATTTGAGGGGTTTCTAATAGACAGCCCATTTCCTCTAACTTTCATTCAAAGGCACTACAGGTTTCTGTTTTTAGAACTCAGTAACTTGTATGGTTTCCTAAAGCACAATAAGACTTCAGGCAAGAGAATCTGTTATTCAGGCCTTTTAAAATAGTTCATAAAAATATATTAAAGGACTAAGAACTGAATTACCAACTCCTGAACAGTGTTTTGACCTCTCCTAGCATCCCCCAAGGTACAGTCTCAGTGTTGCCAAACACACACTGATTATTCTCCAAACAATCCCACACAGAAGATGAAACAAGTGCACAGACACATTAAGGGGTTTGTCCAGCAACACAAAGACAGTGGCCGTGCTGATAATAAAACCTCTGTATAATGCTCCATTTGGGAACTGAACAATAAATGGAGCCTTTTTCTATGGGTGTCATATTACAGAGTTGTCCCAAATCCTAACATCAGATTCATGTACTTGGACAAAACAAGATCTCAGCCAGTTCACCCCCCCCACCCCCATTTTCCTAGTAGTTGCTAGAGATTTCTGACTTTACATACAACGCATATATTAATCTGATCAAAGCAGAAGAATGCAATTTACTCTTACAGGTGCAGCTATATGCAAACTACATTCTCAGTGGGAGAGCGAGTTGCCATTTTAACCACATCTCTGCAGCTAAACTCGGAGTACACTGGGCTTTTATCCCACTTGGAGCAACAGATCCCACACACACAACCACATTAGTTTTCATGCAATTCCTTGACCTGGAAGTAATCATAACTTTCCTCTGCAGAATGGTGAGCAGTGACCAGTTGTAGGACTTGATATTTTTGCTGCTGGGCAGCATTTTTTCTGCTCTCATATGTCAAAATAAAATTTGAATTTAAAAAAAAAAAAAAAAAAAGCAAATGCTTTACTAAGCTACAAACAATGAAAAAAGGTGTTCTGCCTACCATCAAGCCCCGCTGTTAAAATATTAACACAATGTAAATATTGTAATATTGAGGAAGTACGCTGTGTCAGTACTTCCTGGCACCACACAAGAGCTTCACTGTTCACTTCAATCCCTGCTGTTAGTTTTAAACACGCACAACTTAAACAAGGCATCTGAGCTTCTCCAGTCCTGGGGCAAAATTGCAGAGACGAAGTCTTACTGTACGCTTTCTCCAGCTAAAACCCAAAGTATTAAAAAGATTCCCTAAACCCAAACAATTATGTCGATGTCAGTACTTTTGAGGGAAAAATATTCTGCAGGATCTTTCAAAAGTCCTGGCATATTGCTGCCAAACAAGGAAAGATCTCTGGGTATGCACTGTCCTCCCCTTCCTTAGCAAAGAAAAACAAGCTGCAAATGCCCACCGATGCCAGAAGCCTGAAAGACCAACTTATTCATCATGGCAAAAGGCCCATTCTCCAGATCTGCCAGTTAAACACATTACTAGCAATTGATTCTCTCCCTCTCAATTCAAAGGATTAGCAGCATATATGTAATGAAGAGAACAAGGCAGCTACCTGCTGTTTAATAAGGCAAATGTGGCAGTCAGACCTGAGGAACACAGGATCATAGCAGCTAGACTGTATCTGTAATGAAGGCTTATGTAAAATAAAGACAGCTTCATAAAACAATATAGATAAAATGATCTCTGGAAAAGAAATAGCCCTGGACAAACCTGCAAAAATCCAGAAGGCTTGGTCTGGAGGCAACTTGAGGAATGCAGAGCAGAAATTTCACTCCTCTGGCTTTGGTTAATACAATTTAGGCAAAATCATGCCACTCATAAAAGCAAAGATTTGCCAGCTTGAATGGAAACAGCATAAAGCCTGGAAACCTGAAATGACCAATGTTTATGTTTAGGGGCCTCATTGTGTCATGCACTGTGACATGTCAGACAAAGACTGTCCTTGTTCCCCAAACATAACGATCCAAATGCAAAAGAGAGTGAAGTATACCAAGGAAAAAACTGAATGTGTGAAATATTTCCACATATTCAGGCAATGCCTAATGCCAACAAAACTACATGGCTGAGATTTGCAGAAATTAATTCTACATGTTGTATTATGACAAAAGAGATGCATACACACTGCTTCATGCTTCCACAGAATCTACAGAGTCCAAGATGTCAGTGACTTTTTAAAATATAGGTAACAAAAGGCTTATTCCAGATTTAAAATGCCTTCTCCTGAAGCCTTCTCACCTTTCAGGCATTTTCATACACAAATGGGATCTAAAATGACTTGCACAATGCTCCCACGTGCCAGTCACAGCAGCAGATAAGCTTTATTCTTATGCATGGTAAGAAATTGCCCTGAGGGTTAACACAGATTTTCCACTTAATTTTAGCTCACTCCCAGAACCTTATTCAAAGAGCTCCTTTGAACACATACACAACTGCATCACCAGATTTGTATATGGTCAAGGCTACCACAAATCCCCTTATTTACCCACCCACAATGTTTTCTCACATCAGTTTATCTACTAAGAAAAGCACTAGGAACACAACACTTACTCAACCCTTTATCTTTCATCTTACTTGAAAGGGAGAAAAACTCTTGAGAACTCAGTGAGCATTCAATATATGTAATGCACATGATGAGAGAGCTGCAAAAATTCTAGGAACAAGACATCAATTCCAAAACCAAACTACTTACTGTGAGGAGAGTTGTTCATTTGTTTGTTTTTTTTAAGATAAACAAGGGTGGGGTTTTTTTTTGTCCATTTCATGAAATATTATAGCTAACATCCTTCTCCACTTCCATAAATGGATGTTTTTCTTGCTCTCAGTGGGTGGTCTCAGAGTTTTGACAGAGGAACATCACAAGCTAAAAACATAGGATGCTGCAGAGATAGCCCACCTGCAGCGGTGGTGGATGTGAGGGGGGAGAGGAAAGGTGATTTCAAAGGCCAAAACAGACTGTGGTGGGGGAAACCAAAGGTCAGAAATGTATTCACAGCCCTAACAATGGGGGAGCCCTGGCAAAGTGAGCAGCCAGGAAACACAGCTACATTAGGATAACAAGAGATGCAGAACGAAGCAAAAATTTTAGCTTTTATTTTTGCCATTACTAGATTAAAAGAAAAGCCTGAGCAAGAAAGTCAGGCATAATGCTTAGCATTGCTTTTCATGGCATTAAAGTTGTTTGTTTGTTTTTAATGAGCTTATTTTCCATTTCCATTGCCAGCCAATTTAATGAAGCAAATCTCCCTTTAAAAGCTCCAGTCTGAAGTACCTGTCAGTGCAAACACCTGCTGTGACTTTACATTGTGTTTGGTTTCTTACCTGTTTTCTACAAGGAAGTCTACCACATATTTCTTCAGACAGTAGAGATGGGCATCCATCAGCCCTGTTCTGATGTGCATCCTGGGGTGCCTAGAAGAGGGAAAGAAAAAAATAAATCATAGAGCTTTGCACGGCTGTTTGCAAGTGTTTGGCTTTGCAATGAAGTCAGTGGATTGCGAGAGGTTTGCAAAGGTAGATCTGCTTCTTTCTTCCCACTGCTGGATTATCAGACAGGAAAATACTGCAGGCTGCCATTACTGGACTCTGTCTGCAAACTTACACCTGCTGGCCCTGGGCTGATTTGCTGCGAAAGAAAACACCTCCTCCAAGGAGTCATTACTCCTGCTACATCTTCTCATGTAAGTGGAAATTGCACATTACTGGGCAGGAAGCCAAAGTAATGGGCCCAGAGTGCTAAAAGTTACAGTGGGTAATGTCAGGGTACAATAATTCAAAGCTTCTGGCTAAGTGCCTGCCTTAATATGCAAGGCTGTGCATGTTCCACTAGCAAACACAACACTACTGTGTTTTTTTCCAGCTCTTCCTGGAGGCAAACAGGGGAAGGAGATGGGGTCTGCCCACCTTCCCAGCACTACACATTACAAATGACTGCCACAGCTTGATTACTAAGCATTTGCACCTCCCGTCCAATAAGATGGAAAACATCAGGAAAACTCCCTCTCATCATCAGCCAAACTATGGCAAACAGGGAATTCTTACTTTTCAAACCAGGGGCACATTAGCATCTCAGTAACTCAGAAGTCTCTATCAGATCCACTGTTTCAAGAACAAAGCCATCAACAGTCCAACCACACTGGACTGGTTCAAGATGTCTGTAACTGCATTCGGTCCTGGGGCTATTAAGAAGGAAATTACAACCTATACCTGAAAGGACCTATATTTTCATTTTTTCTCCTTTGATGCCCAGATTTTGTAATGGAGTCTGAATGAATACATCTGACTGCCAACTTTGTTCTCTTATTCCAGGACACGCTGAAGTCAGATATTTGCGATCACGATCACTTTTACAAATTAACAAGTAAAGGGATCGCTCAACTTAGGCTAGTACATGGATAAGTAAACCAATACTAACACACTGAATGCTTACTAATACCAAAGTTGCCTAGTATACCAAAGCATTCTAGTAGGCCATTTTTTCATAGCATATCTTGATTAACACTGAACAATCAAAGGGCTTAAGATTTTATAAATTCAGATGGCATTTCTCAAGCATGTCATTCAAATTAAACCAAGGGTATTATTAACTAGTGATACATTCTGTAAGGCCTGCTTATAAGGAAAATTTCCTGTATGAGTTGTATGGCACTTTGGAGTAAGTATATGGTACTAAGAAGTGATGGATATACCTCCAGTCGGTTACTTCGTTAACAAAACATGAGCTCACCTAGCAGTGCTCCAGTACTGATGTTATCAGTGGCCCAGATGTTGCTGTGGAAGTCAGCCCAAATAGCAATGTTCTTTATGCAAGGAACAGGAATCTACTGACTTTAATGAGGCCCTGCATTTGCAAATTTGCAAACTTGCTACTGCTCTGCATCCAGAGGATGGTTTCCTCATTGTGGATTTATGGAATGGAGAATTTTTCCATCTTCCCTGAGAAAAAAAGCTCTCTTTATATTTATTAATATATTCATTTTATAAATACATTTATATAGAGAGAGAACAGGAAAAAAACAATTCTTAATTTTAAGATGACACAGCTTCAGCGCCAGTATGCCATTTTTTTTTTCCTCTCTATACAAGCTTCCTTTAAATACAAGGCAGGAGAAGGTAACAAGGCTATAAGCAAAACAGTGTAAACCAGGAATTCCTCAGTAAGTGCCAGTTCTGCTGCCAGTGTCTGAGCAGCTTTCACACATCCAGTCTCCCCACCTGCAAAATGGAACGACACTGCTTTAGCTACACTGCACTGAGGATATGTAACTACATGCAAGTTTTAAACCGAAGTAGTTAAGCAACTTTACAACAGAGTTACTTAAAAATCTGTGTAAGTAGACAGAGCAGCACAGTGCTGTCCTTTCAGCAGCTTCATCACACCTTCAGTGATGAAAATCCAGCCAGATCACAAGAAGTACTGGAGCACCACTCTAAGTTGGCTTTCAATGTAGAATATATGAACCATAATGGAATGTCATGCTGAACAAGAGGGAGGTCCCACAATGAAAATCCTCTGAAACACAGACCACCTAAGAGATGTGCAGCAGAATAGTCCCATAGATTAATATTATAATCACAGTCTCAGAGGTCAAACAGGCAAGTTTGGGCATATGCATAAACAAAACTGTGATTTCTGTAAACCAGACTAGAGGAGAAAATAGCCACACTAACCCAGGCTGATAAGAGCACTGTCTCATAACAAGCCACTAAAGATGATACCAATTTTCACTAATACTTAAACCAGTTTATCTTCAGGTAAAAGAACAGAAGAGTCAAATAATCTAATAGATAACAGCAAACTCCATCACCATTTCAAATGAGCATCTGGTTACTAATATGGAAAGCCACACTCCCTCCACATGCCTCTGATCTCCCCCTCCATCAGCTAATCTTTACAACATATGAAAAATGAGCCAGTCAGAAGAACAGCTGATACGGAGAGAATCGAATAACAAACAACGCAGGAGCTGAGAGCTGGCGCACCTACACGTATCGCTCGGAAGGAGATAATGCACAGTGCTTTTAATTATATCATCAAAGCAGTGGAGAAGGTAGTGGGAGGGGCTGGCTGCAGATGGGTACGTGTTAATGCGTGCAGGGCTGCGTAGTTTATCAAAAGAGAAAGGCTGGATATATATCTGAGAGGGTCACCGTAAAGATGAAAGTTGCAACAGCCATTGTTGGAGCTCTTTAATGAGCCAGGAACGTCAAACGTGAAGCCCCTAGGAATCATACCAATTACTACACAAACTTCAGTTCAATCTAGCAAATGTAATCAAGCACGAGTCATTAAAATACATGGTAAAACTCCCATTGGCGCTGCCACTATAGCATCTATTATGGTCTGTGCTCCCATGCAAGGGAGGGGGCTGCTCCCCGTTGTAAGCTCTGTGTGTTATGTTAAGTGATGGCAGATTTCAGCCCTAATGATGCGGCACAGAGGGCTCCCTGGCAGAAAGCTGACAATGAGGAAGCTCACAGAGATCTGTTGAGAAGCGAGGAAAAGATTGGCAATTAAAAGAGCAATTTCAAAGAATGCAATTTAATGTGTAAAATTAGCTTTTATCAGCACCTAATTCCACAAAATCCTGACTCGGGATGAGAGCGCATAAAGGTCTGCAAGAGGCCTTAAAAAGGCCTGTGCCCGTCATTCCTCACGCGCCATTGTGAAATAATAAGCAGTACTAACAGGATTGATGCATGCTTCGTACATGGCATTGCTTTGAAAGCGGAGTCCCGAGCTTTTTTCTCCCTGATAACCTCTCTTGGGATTTCCTCCCTCAGGGAAGTCGAGCACTGATAGAGCAACCTTCCCTTGTTAAAGGCAAAAAGACGGACAATTGTTTCAACTGTAAACTAATTAAGAGCGATTACCACCGAGAGCTGGAGGTTCCAAGCAGCCCCGCACTCCCACTGACAGTGTGATAATGCCAGGCTGGGGTCAAAATCATAAATCTGAAGGGAGCGCACACAATGCTTAAAGCCAAAAAGCCTCTCTACTAAGCATGGGATATTGCCACATTAACCTCAGCACCTCACAAATAAACTAGCTGAGAAAGAGAAATCCCATGGCCTCCTTCCCTTTAACTTCATACAGCTGTTGGTGGAAAATATGAAGGCCTTTAAATAATCTCAAGGACCTGGGGCTATCTGTACTCCAACACTAATCCGAGCAGTGACACAATAAGAAGGCAATCACAGCTACTATTAACCTGGCTTCCGAGCTGATATGTGAATTACATCCACCGTGGGCTTATGGAGTATTAGTTCATCTCCCTGCTATCCCTCAAAGAAAAAGAAATAAATTAAAAGCACTCTAAGTGCTTTTCTATGCATTTATTTTGTAAGTAATTGCGAGCAGCTCGCACAGTCTGTGCAGCCAAAGCACATCCCTTCTTCCCCCTCCCACAACGCACACCGTGCTCTTGCAAGAAGTGCACCATCCACTTCCATCACACCGGGCTGACCCTGCCTGTCTGCACTGGAGGTGCTGCTCTCCTGTTGACACAAAACCGGTGTACAGACACTAAGAGAAGCCTTACAGCAAAAGCTGCCAGACCACCTTTCATGTCTCGAGCATTCCTACTTTTAAAGGGAAAAAAAAAAATCCCTAAAATGCATTGCTCATTTACGGGACAGCTCTTGGCTGTAAACTCGCTAATAATAAAAGACCACTGTTACACTGGCTCTTCAAAAATCCCAGACACCTTATGACCTTAATTTTACACAGTGCTTTTGGCCAAAAGGATCCCAAAGCACTTAGCAAAATGAATGTCCCCACTGTACGGCGGGCCTGCGTTGCCCACCAGTGAAATGCTGCCATCTCTGGGCTGAACAGCAGCAGCTGTGGTGCACGGCTCTGCTCCCTGTCCTGGGTTGTCCTGCAAAACTGGGCCAGGCCACCCGCCTTCTGCCAGCTCTGCAGGAGGGCTGAGCAAGGTTTAATTAGAGGAATCACATCATCTATCATAGAACGGCTCTGGCTGGCAGTATGCTGTTTCTCAGGTGGAAGAACTGGTTCAGCTGTATTCTGAGGAACACCTGGGTGATGTAAGGCAGCTGGCACAGCGAGGAGAAGGGCACAGCCTGGCAGAAATACCATCACCAAGCTGGATTTAAAGGTGGCACGGACTGCTGCTGCCTGTCTTATGGACTGTGCCATGGCCCCCCAGTGACCCTGCCTCCCAAGCTCAGTCACCCTAAGTTCTTGGTGTTGCTCTTCCTTCAATTTTCTAACAACCTTATTTACAAAAACAAGAGGGCGTCATACAACACTCTTTGGTCCCTTGAGGGCCTAGCAGGGAAGGATGTGGCATGTTCACAGCACAGATCTCCCATCAGACACCCCAGCACCTGCCTGCAGACAGCTTGCAGACACCCAGGAACGTAACACTTCATCCTCCCAAAGCTGC